AATCGACAACGATGTGCTATTAAAATTTCTATATTTGGAGATTTTCCAACGCTACGCAGCATTATGTGTAGATCACCCGATTCTTAACTAATAATTATGCCTAAACACTTTTAGCGCGGTGCAACATATATCTGAAACTTTATGTAACATATTATACGTATCAATTCATTGTAATAATATTTACCAATCATCTTTTAGGATATAGGTAAATGGAAATTTTCAGTGAAGTAATTGATTTTCGTCGCCAAGGTGGATTCTACTAAATCAGCTACATTTTTGCTGTATTAGCAAAATTTGCCGAAAATTCCATATGAGAGATCGTCTAAAGCCTTGTAGTATTTTATATGTGCCACGTGACGTTTAATTTACAAATCGATTAGTAATCAATTTAAAAACTACCTATCTCCCATATAAATCAGATTTACCATGACATATACGTTGAGATGAAAGAAAGAGCGGAATAGCATCTTATAAAAAGATCGTACCTATTCAGAAGTTCAATTGTAACAAAAAATGGATTTAAAGACTAAATTTGAATAAAACAGCTCGATCAGGGTTCAACACTCAAAATCTTAGGTGTCTCGCGTTAATAGTCTCTCGATTATTAAAGTCTAATCTATATTGTAGAGCTCGTGACGTAATCTAGAGTTCTAATAATCTTAATTACTTTGATCTTAATCATGTAGAATATTATTTTATAAGCAGTTCCAAACGATAAACCAGGTTGGTGTACATTATTATGATGCCGTAATTAATCGGATTGTTTAAGTGTGGAATATCTCTATTTTTCTAAACATATGTCACGTGTTCATATTCGTCAAATTCGGAGCGAAATTATTTTCATTCATAGCCAATCAAATATTTGTCTTACAACTAAGTGACTAATTAGAATTACTCGGATATTTCTTTCGAAATGTATCAAGTAATAATTATTTCAACTAGAGGTCGGAACCAATTCATTCAAGTAAACCCGATTTAATAATAAACGGTTTTATAACATCTTAAATCCGGTTGCAAACTCAGACAAACCAGATTTAAAAATCTGAATCCGGTTTATTTCGAACGTGCTATATTTTATTGTGTTAGTGATGTGCTCATGCGCATGGGAATATTTCGGAATTTTCGGGATATCTCGGAATCCCATAATTCTGGCCCGCATTAGCAGCAAGCTACCATAATGCAGGCCAGAATTCCATGCGCATGAAATTTGAAAAAAGGCTAGTTTGCCCATCACTAGAAATGATATTCCTTAAGGGAATGTTAAATTTCACGTGAACAAGATAAATGATTTTGACAATCAGAGTTCTTGTCGCAACCCGATTATTATTTTGGTTTAACTTCCCCCTGTTTAACTTAAATAATAACCGGTTTTATATCACACAAATCCAATCCAGGTCAACCATTATGAAAGTTTAAATTTTAGATACTTGGTCAACTTTAATATTTTGAAATACAGAATGTTTCGTATGTTTCAGAATACCTCATTAAAAACCATTTATCATTGTCGTTATCAATTTTGACTGTATAATTATTGTGTTGTGATTGACTTAATTACCTTAATTCCAGAACAAGGGGTGATGTTAATTAATTGATTAATTTTAAGGAACATCCGGAACATCCGGAACATCCAGATCAGTATCAATTAATCATAAAATGTCGCTCATTTCCCTAAGAAAGGAATAGATTAACAAAATTCAGAAAATTGTACGTATGAATGCACAACCAAATTTCGGGATAGATTTTTGTAATAACTTGGAAATTTTAGCTATGGAACTGGCTTCTGCACGCTAATTTATTATATAATATCATCAAACTTAACACTACCCAAATATATCGTATCTAACAAAGCAAATTGGTTTTAACGAAATTTGATTGGTGAATTTTGGTTGCGCAGCTAATCTATATGGGTAGGTTATACAAACTCTTAAAAGAGATTGTCTAACAGCGGGTTGGAAGGAAAAATTTTGACCCGAGATACTTATGTTACTGAAGTAACACGACCCTTGAAATTCCAGGGATCTTGAAAATCCCACGATCCTCAATATCCTTAAGATATGATCTTCAAAATCCCAATGAATCCGGGTATAGGAGATTAGCGGGTCATATGGAATTAACAAAATTTCTTAAAGTTCTGTTTACCTCTGGGTTAGTAATTGAGCTAGATATAGTTAAAAATTACTCGAAAAAATTAAAGATTATAGTTTTCTTCAAAACGAGGGTACGTTTTTTTGACCTTATAGATTGTGTTACAATATGTAATGCATAGCATTGTGCGTTTGTAACTTATTATATAATGATTGCGTAATGAAGAAACGGAGATTTTTGTTACAATTTGTACAAATATGGATATGCGTGTGACAGACATTAAATAACTAATAAAACAATGCTAATAATTAGCTGTTGTCGCGGTAACTTTGTACCACATTAATACCCTTCAGACAATTACACAAATTCGGAATTAATCATTGGACGTGTCCGGAAGTTTCACCAAGTACATCTTGAAACGATTCGAACGATTCGAAATTCTAGACACCTAATACTTTAAATGTTTCGTAAATATTGAGGAATGTTGATATATCAAAAATATTGAAGAGTTTATTATGTTGCTTCCTATGCATCAGTTATCTCACTCGTATGTGTATCACTTGTATGTATCTAAGTAACAAAGAAATTTACCTGAATAAAATAACCTGATTGATTGCCATTCTTCAAAAATAGTTAACTACGTATTAAGATCTAAAAAGGTCATCCCTTGATCATGATAATTACAACAAACTCTAGTTTTAAAGATACTGTAATAATCTGACCATGTCTTGATCAAAGATTCCCACACTAGGATGTAAGATGATGTAAGATAATTCTATATGGTTTTAGTGTTATTCATTCATCATTGATATTACTATTTTTGATCAAGAATCGATCTTGGTTTCATCACAGGTTATGGGTTTTCAAAAAAAAAAAAAAAAAAAATTATAATTGGAACGCTAATTAAAAACCTCTATTTTTACGCTTAGTCCTATATTTAATTTGCATTTTAGAAATTTCTATAATACCGGTACAATACAATGTGTAATTACGTATTTATTTCGTTTTAACAATGATTACTGCAGTGTGACGCCTATGCATGCTGATATACTATTAGAAGCTTAATAGAACCTGTATATATTGAGATCTAGAGCTATGTCAATTATGTCAAATGATCGAGATCTCAAGTGAGTAAGATTTCTTAAATTGGAAATAACAATTTTCTGATTAACATGACTAGTTATTAATATAAATTTCGGTTCATAATCATAAATTGTACGATCATAACCGAAATAAATGAGTTTATGCTACGCGCACATATAAAACAAGTATTGAGTAGATTTTCAAGTTGATTATGTGTATATAAATTTAAATTTTAAAATTATTTCTTACAGTATATAATAAAAATGACTATGGTGGTTTTGATTATTTTCTTTATTATTCAAGAATATCATAATAATGATTTAGCATTTATAATGTATCCAGCATATAAAAATTCATAAAAATCAATAAAATCAATAAAAATCATATGATAACAATTACCAAAATATGATTAAATTTTAATTAATCAGATCACGTAATCAGAGTGAGATCAAGTAGACAACTGAATTGTTTATATACTGATATCAGTTGACATTGAATAGTCTCAGAAAATAATAACGACGATAAACGATACTGGTTCCTGCAGTTAACAAACAATACAAGGCATATGATGTTACAGAGGAAATTCAAAAAAAAAAAAGTTGGTATTTATGTTATTTTTTTGAATGTATGAAGCATATATTCTGTTTTGATTCTGTTGTGAACAAAATAATTGAATTATTATTAACGTTTCACTTAACTGGAATCAGGAAAATTACAATCGTGTTCGGTGTACAAATTGGGAAAAAAAAAATTAAAACTAATGCCGAAATTTCCGAAATTCTAAAAAATAGTTGATAAGATACGAATGAGGTTACGATGTAAATATGATAATTTACTGAATTAACATAAACAAAATTCAACTAAATTATATTATTCTATATAGGCGAGTTATATATCAAATAATTTTAAACCTGACTTCGAAATTAAGAATGTTTGTTATTTACCGTTTTTAGTAGATTTTAGTAGATTAGCGATTCATTAAACTCACTGCACAATTGTGGATAAGATTAATGCATATTATAGTACACCTATACATATATAAATCGGGGTTAGTCAGGGTAGAGAGTATCTTCGAATTAAAGATTTAACATTAATATATCAGTGTAACTTCAAGATGTAATTTGTTTGGTCTCTTTCATGTTAAACTTGATAGGTTTTGGAAATACGTACAACTGATTGTATGATTTATATGGTAACCTTATAAATTCGTGACTGCCTAAATATGGTACAGTTTACATTTTGTGCCGCATTTACCTCAATGCTTTTATCGTTAAGATTACTTTCTTAGGATAATAAGTCATTTTTAATTGTTACTTTTCTTTAAGAACATTTTTTATATTTCTCGCTCTTTTTCATTCTTTTAAATTAATTCTATTAATTCGAGAAAAAAAAATTTTTTTTTTTTATAAAATTTTTGTAAATCATAATTAATGGGGATGGAGATTGACCTTAAAAAACGTATGTGTGAACAAAACTTAGTAATACAATGCTATTTTCAATTCATGCATCCTTATGCTATGTTAGTTATGCCATAAAGTTTTCATTGGAAACGATTTCATCCAATACAGAACGCATACATTTTAATCATACCACTGTCCGAATGTGATTATACTTTTTTATCGTTTTGCATTTTTAATCATACCACTGTCCGAATGTGTTTACAATTTTACTTTTTTATCGTTCTGCACACATATGCATTATAATATATACCGACTAGTTAAACTCAAAATCAAAACTTAACTTTTTTTGACGATCAAAAAAAAAAATAATAAGCAAAAAGTTTTGATGTTTTTTTAACTTACCCTTGTTATTAATATTTATTATTATCTTTTATGTTAGATACTCTTTACGTTTCTCAGCGGGCAGCAAACGCCATAGTAGCCGACGTTGCTCCTTATAGAATTTCCGCTGAAGCTTTAATTTCAATAAACACTTTTCTCGATGAATTCTTGTATTTCGTTATAGACTCGGCCAGGTCTTTGGACTTGGTTAAAATAAAACAATCAATTTCTCAAGTGTTACCTACAACATTGGGAAAAAATGCTATACAAGAAGCTGAGCTTGAACTTAAAACTTATGTGGAAAGCGGAAACTCCGATAGTACCCAAGAAAAAACTATAGAAATAACTCCTTTTCCTCTGCAAAAAGTATTCGAACAGTTTCGTGCTAAATGCCAATTCTTCAGTACTCTAGGGGAACGTGGGATTGATGAACGTGATTCTAAAATGGCTCCTAATTTATATGCTAATGAAGGAATTCATATCGCTCCTAGTTTAGCTATTTATTTAACCGCTGTTTTAGAATATGTTGGTGAACATGTATTAATATTGGTGGCTAAAGCTACCGAAAAACATGGTACAGGTGTGGCTAAAATGAAAGAAGTTTACACTGCTTTGGTAGAAGATAATCAAATAAGAGCTGTATTTCGACGAACCAGTCTTAAAGTTGAACTGGAGGTTTGTTGGAAATTTTTTCACACACACACACGCATATATATATATATATATTCGGATAATTTTTGTAATTTATTTATTTATAATAATTTATAATTACTTTTAGGAAAAATTACAAATTAAAACTCCGGCGTCTCCCATATCTCCTAAATTTACTTATTCTGAGTCTATTAAATCTCCTAAATACCCCAATTCTGAGTCTATTAAATCACCTCGTTTCGCAAACCATATATGTAATGTATTAATTATAATTTTATTGTCAAAATAAATTTTTATAACTAAATCTATTTCAATTACCTAATTATCCAATTATCTAATTAAGACGACGAAGAGACTTTGCTTCGGTCACCAACTCTTAATAATGGAAGACCATTGTCTGATGGAGTTACACAACAGAGCAGCAAAAACTCTTCTCCAAGATCTCCAGACGGTGATAGTTTGGAATATAATATGAGGTCAACGAGAAGTATGCAAAGCTTACAATATTCCAGTGAAAAAGATGAAATGAGAAGCCATTCTAGAGCGGTAATTATTATTTATTATGTTATACATGTTAACTTTTAATAACTTTTATAACTTTTATCATGTTATATATGTTGACTTTTTATTGATTTGTTAATTTAATAATTAATTTAACAATAAATTAATTAGGGTGATAATGCTGAAAAGGCGAGAAATTTTGAAGATTTATTAATCGAAAATAATAAAACGGTCAAAATTTCTTTAACTTCAAATAGACTTAAAACAATTGAGGTATGCATGATTAAACCATTCCTTGTTTTTATTTGAAAATTAATTTAATAATTAAACATAATTTTTATTTTTTATAAAAGACGAATAAAAGGCAACCTAAATTTGAACCGCGTGAGCCGGTAGTACACGGTCGAATGATTCCAAAATCATCAGAAGTCGTTAGAGGTTATGATGATGATGATTTTGATGATATTTCTAATAAAAGGAAAAAAACTAAAAAACAAGAAAGTCTTTATGAATTTTTAAAAAATACTGATCCGGATGATATTTTCGGTGATTCAAAAATTAAAAAAAAAGATTCAAAAGTGGACCTCATTCAAAAACGTGGAAAGGATATCAACAAATTGAATTCTGTACTTGAACTTCCGGCTAAACCACCTACTAATAAACCTAAATATATTCCGTTAATTCCTCCTGGAACTGATATTAGAAGTATAACTTCTACTACTTCGCAACCTGAATCTTCTTTGAATCATAATAAATCTATGGATCAAACTTATTATAATAATAATGCCGCGAGCAAGAGCACAAGTCATCTTCAAAATGGTAAAAAAGCCGCTCCTGTAAAACTAAGACCGAGACCTGAACCATTATCTTTAAATGATGATGATGATATATTTTATACTGATGGTCAAAAACGTCCAAGACGACGTCAAACTCAAGATCTAATAGATTTTTTAAATTCGGAACCACCATCTGATATATCAACTTCATCTATAAACAGCCCTCCATCCGAAAGTGGTAAAAAATCGGAAAAGAAATTCAAGAAATTCTTCTCTAAATTGATGAAACAACCGTCAAATGAAAGTTTAAATAACAAAGACTTTGATCAAAGACCGCTAAAAACTCCAAATACTCCTAATAGTTATGTTTCAACTACGAGTACTTTGGTTAATAATAAGTCTCAACCAAAATATGTCAAGATCCAGATACCACAGATACCAGATAAAGAAACTCAAGAACAAAGTATTTATGATCAAGTACAGATTCAAGGAAGACATGCTCGTCATACATCACGTAATAGCTTAACAGGTTCTGCTCGTACACAATCGCCAAATAAATCCATGTTTTCTACTGCTTCTATGACTGGTACATTGAGTAGTCCGACTATTAACGAAAATAACGAACTTGAAAACTATTATGATGATGATGAACATTCTAATCAGTTTATTAACGCTCGACAACGTTCTCCTCCACTTTCTCCAACAAAACCTAATAATATTAATAATATCAATAATATTATGAATAATAACGTCAATAATATTACGAATAATAATATTGTCAATAATAATAAAAAACCACCATTGCAATTTGATCAGCAAAAGAATGCGATTAAAACATCAACAACCACCACAACGATTTCAAATAATAATCTGCAACAAGAGAAATCTCAAATACAGTCAGAACAACAAAAAGATGTGGTTAAATCGTTATCTAAACAGCAGACAACGCCAATTTCATCAGATAATAATAACTTACAGTCAAATAAAACGCAACTTGAACAACAAAAGAATTTAGTTAAAAAATCAGATGATCAACCTAAACGGTCGAAAACACCTACTCCTTCAGATAATAATAATAACTTACAACCAAAT